GAGAGAGAGAGCTTGGTGACATTGGATCCAGACTCGACATGGGACTTCAGACATTTTGAAGAGGGATTATTTGGGACTTGTAACGAGACTTGGTGTTGACGACTTTCCCATCTCCCCCTTCCTCTTCTTCGTCTGATCCCCTCCTCTTCGTCTGTGTATGTCTGGACCTGGCGCTTCTTTCCTGTGTATAGCGCCAGGCCCCTTCACGCCTTGTGATGAGCATGATGTATGTTTGTATTCTAGCATTCTGCTTCACTATCCTGAACTAAGTGAAAGGGGTCAGTCCCGGTCAGGTCAGGACTTGTATCTAAAGTCTTCCCTGCGCTRWWAAAGCACCATTTTGTATGTATCGGAATGCACATTGCTTGTTGAGATTCCACTTGCACTGCATTGTCCATTCAGTCCTTTTTATCACATTGCGGATCCTAGGTTTGTATGTACATCGCCCAACTAGGCATGTAACAGTTGGTATCGGAGCACCGCACGTGAATCAGGACAACCTGATCTGACACGTGTGCGGGGACTAGGTAGCTGATTAGTCTTGATTGATTGATTAAAGCACACTAGTTAGCCCCAAAAATCACGATTTTGACCTCACTGCCGAAAATCGAATTTTTTTTCTTTTCTTGGATTTCGTTTTCTCGCTATTTCTGTTGTGGAAAATCGCAATAGAGCAACATCTGAGATTTCCGTTTTCGTTTTTCTTCTGAAAATCTGAAATTTCGTTGTTGGAAATCTGGAATATCTTTTTCTCGAAAATTTCGATCTGATTTTGCAATTTGCCGTTATTTGGAAATTCGCTGGGTTAGGCCAACGTCCGGCCCAGACGGACAGGGGGGGGTCCGTCCAGCAAAACCAGACGAGCCAAAAAACTTCCCAGGATTTTTTTTTTTTTTTTTTTGAAGATGGGGTTGGAGTGAGCTCGCAGAGAGGAGCCCGAATCCCCAGAGAAACTTGTGAAAGTCGTGTGTGTGTGTGGGGGGGAGGGTGGAGGGGGGGATTTTGGAGGTCACTGTGGATGCGGAGGTGCTTGCAGCTTTTCCTTTTCCTTTTTCTTCTGCCGTTTTGCCCCTCCTCCTTTCAGACCCGCCACTCCCCCCTCGAACGTCGCTGCCATCGCCCGCCATAGTGTCGTGGAAGTAGAGGATGCAAGGACCACCAGCGAGGGAAAAAAGAAAGTTCAAATACCGGAAGAAGAAGAAGAAGGACGAGAAGAAGAAGAAGAATTACAAGGAGAAGAAGAAGAAGACTTAGAAGGAGAAGAAGTAGCAGTAGAAGAAGAAGAAGAAGAAGAAGAAGAAGAAGAAGGCTTAGGGAGGAGGAGGAGAAAGGAGGAGGAGGAGGAGGCGAGAAGAAGACGAAGGGAGGGGGAGGAGGAGGAGGAGAGAAGAAGACGAAGGGTGGGGAGGAGGAGAGAGAGGGGGAAGAGAAGGAGGAGGACGTGAGAAGAAGA